ACTCGATACCTCTGGTTAAGGGAAGAGCAGCCCCATCCGCTGCACCACATTCCTTGGTGGTAACTAAGTTATATATATATATATATATATATATATATATATATATATATATATATATACATTAATTGGAGCCCGACTATATTCAGATTCACGCCGGGTTGAGCCACATTCGGGGGTAGCGCTCCCTACCAAGGATTTTTCCATACTCAGGGCTCCAACTCGAGACCGAGCAGCCACATCCGCTGCACCACATAACCTCTGTGGTGGTAACTAAGTTCTATATATTATTTGCAAGTTAGGAAGCAAAAACACATTAATTTCCAACCATGGCCTCAATTTGGCAAGTTCTTTCACTAGTTGTAATAGTCCTTTACATTCTTCAACAATTACACAACAAATTCATGAAAAAGAAAAAGGAACTTCCTCCGGGTCCAAAAGGGTTTCCAATTATTGGAAATCTATTTATGATTGGCAAAAATCTACATCAAGATCTTTATCAAATAGCCAAACAACATGGTCCTATAATGAGTATGAGATTTGGTCTAGTTCCTATTATTGTTGCTTCATCTCCTCATGCTGCTGAACAATTCTTGAAAAAACATGATCTTGTTTTTGCTAGTAGATCATATAATACAGCTGCTCAATACATTGGATATGATCAAAGAAATATCACCTTTGGTAAATATGGTTCTTATTGGCGAAATATGCGAAAATTGTGTACGTTAGAATTGCTTAGTAGTCTCAAGATTAATTCATTTCAATCAATGAGAAAACAAGAGATTGAAAATTTTGTGACTTTTCTCAATCGGGCAGCTTCTAATGGTGTTGAAGTTGATATTAGTGCTAAACTTGCTTCATTAAGTGCAAATATGGCTTGTTTAATGGTATTTGGGAAGAAATTATGGATGAAGAATTTGATGAAAGGGGTTTTAAAGATGTAATTCAAGAGACTTTAGCTATAGCTGAACACCAAATATTGGTGAGTTTTTTCCTTTTCTTGATAGGTTTGATTTGCAGGGATTTGTTCCACGTATGAAAAAATTGGCAAAGATTTTTGATGATTTATTAGAGAAAATTATTGATGAACATGTTCAAGATTCCAAGAGGGAGAATAAGCAAGCTAAGGATATTGTTGATACTATGATGGCTATTATGCAATCTGGAGAAGCTGAATTCGAGTTTGATCGTCGCCATGTCAAAGCTATTTTGCTGGTAATGTTAATGGAACACTCATTCATTCAATCTAGTTTTAGTCATTTTGTTTTTCGGAGAATTCAGAATTTAAATTTGGATGCTTCAATCATTAGATTCATATTATTTTATTTTTTATTTTTTCAACAAGTACTTATAGCCCGTTTGGCCGAGCTGCAAAAATCAGCTTATTTTGAGAAGTGCTTTTTTTCAAAAGCGCTTTTCTCAAAAGTACTTTTGGTGAGAAGTAGTTTGTGCTTGACTAATTAGTTTGAAAAGCACTTCTGAGCAGCAATTAGTGTTGGCCAAGCTTTAAAAAACTGCTTCTAAGTATATTTTTCTCAAAAGTGCTTCTCAAAAAAGTGCTTTTGGAGAGAACTGCTTCTGCTTCTCCTCAAAAGCACTTTTTTTCCTTCCAAAAGCTTGGCCAAACACCTCAATTTTTGGCCAAAAGTGCTTTTGGCCAAAAAGAAGCTTGGCCAAACAGGCCATTACTTCACATCCTGTTTTGGCTGAAAATATCGCCATCCCCCCCCCCCTCGCCCCCCCCCTCCCCCCCCCAACCAAGAAGCCTTTTGTGACTTTTTGGACTTACGGCCTGCCTTGTAGTCATAGTCTTTTAGCTTATATAGTCGTCAGCCTTCCTACATGCATGCATCTGCCAGAATACCGCCTTGGGAGTGGTTCGAACCCTCCCCGACACACACACACACACACATATATATATATATTATGTAAAAGACTAACTGATAGTACGACGGACAAGGTGTAGTTAATCCCGGGATTAAATTTGAGATGATTTTATCTCACGTTTGGTTGGAATAAAATCGCGGTAAACTAATCTCGGGACTGTAGTGTTATTTTTATCATTATGGGAAGGTGAGATAATAATTCCGAGATAACTAATCCCGGAATAATTAATCCTGGGATAACTTATTTTCCAACCAAGCGACCCCTTAATTACTATGACTTTAAATAGCAACTGAAAAAGATCTCTCTGTGCAGGATTTGTTAATAGCTTCAATGGACACTGCATCAACAGCAGTTGACTGGACTTTCACTGAACTTCTAAGGCACCCTAAAGTAATGAAGAAATTACAAAATGAGTTGGAACAAGTAGTTGGGACAAACAGAATGGTGGAAGAATCAGATTTGGAAAAATTAGAGTATTTAGATATGGTTATAAAAGAAGGTTTTAGGCTTCATCCCGTTGCACCACTATTAATTCCACATGAATCCATTGAAGATTGTATTGTTGATGGTTTTGATATACCTAAAGGTTCAAGAATTTTAGTAAATACTTGGGCAATTGGAAGAGATCCAGAAGCTTGGCCCGAACCCGAGAAGTTCAGACCAGAAAGGTTTGTTGGTAGCAACATCGATCTTAGGGGACGTGACTTTCAACTTTTGCCGTTTGGCTCGGGGAGAAGAAGTTGCCCTGGATTACAATTAGGGCTCACCATTGTTCGCTTGGTGTTAGCGCAATTGGTTCATTGCTTTGATTGGGAGCTACCAAATGGTATGGCGCCAGAAGATTTAGATATGACTGAGAAATTTGGTTTAGTTACAGCTAGATTTCAACATTTAGTTGCTATTCCTACTTATCGGTTGCATCTGTAGTTGATGTGAATCTTCCTAGAAGCTGTGAAAATGAAGATCTTTGTCCTCTATATTTTTCATTGTACGACAAAATTTGGTAACATTTACTATATATGGAGCTACAATAGGTAAAAAAGCGGTCAGTTGAATACCTTTCGTTGGATAACAATGTGTATATAGGACCAATAATACTCTAGTCAAGTAATCAAAGTAGGCATACGTACCACTAACTCTATTGAAACAAAGTTATTTTCGAACAAATACGATTAAGAACACAAAACTATGTGGAGCCTAAAAATAGAAAAGGAATGAACTCTTCACAAATTTTTCTCTTTTTCTACATAATAACAAAGATATTATATTAAGCCTCACTTCATCACAGGTATGGAGTAGCTCTTCTACTCAATATTTGAAGGGATCTCTTATGTAAGGCTATCAATTTTGACAAAGTTCAAAGATAAGAAGTTATGGTCCTTTTTTGGCTGTACTAATTATTATAAACATTTTCTTTATTTACTAGAAGACATCTCATAAAGGCAATAAAATAAATTGTCAACTAGTTATGGTCCCACTTACTTACTAAAAGACATCTCATATATATTTCGAATTGAAAGTAATGTGTTTAGTCGAACCTGCAGAAGCCGCTTTTGATCCATAATTACTTGAGGCTAATGGTGTTATGTATATAATTTATCAGAAAATTTGAGGTGACTTACCTCCTCTGAAACTAGCATATTATTGACTTACCATGTCTAATTTATTCGTCATTAGCTAAAGGATATAAAAGGTGGTTTCTTTTGTGTATAAAAATAGAGAGTTTAAACTATATTTATAGGTGTTTTTCTTCTGGTGTTATTTCGCTTAGTATTTAGTATTCATTTTGGGGCTCGACTAATCCGCCTTATATGGACTAGTACTTAATTCTCCACTACGATCTTTCGTGGAAAAAATTGGTTTCTTTTATGTGTAAGTAAACCATTTTGATATATACTTATGAGAAGTTAACAGAAGCTAACAGACAAGTGACAACAAATCTACCAGATTTTCCTCTCTGTAGAGTTTATATTGGAAAGCAGAAAATTGAAAAAATGTATCCCTACTATATAAGAGTGACCCTGGTCCCGGCGGGGCTCGAACCCGCGACCTTCGGCTCATAAGACCAACGCTCTAACCAACTGAGCTACGGGACCATGTGGTATACAAGTTATAGTTTTATTATATAATATTTAGAACCATAAAGCAGACTTTTATTTTCTTGTACTCATTTTTAAAATTAGATTGCTCCTGATATGCAAGGCTGAACAGCTCTGTAAATAACCCTTTCTTATAAGCAAAACCTATGTAAATTACAAGTCGTATTCATTTCCATTATCTTATTTAGCCAAACTAGTCACCTCGTTTTTTCGTGGATTAGCATCTGGACATACTTTAGTAGACATAAAGATATCATCTTTGTAACAACTACCAAATCACAAGGGACGCTAGAGGTACGATAATACTACACAGTACATACTTGGAGGCTAGAGGTACGATAATACAACATAGTAGATACTCAGAGGCTAGAGGTACAAGTACGATGATACAACATAGTACATCCTCAGAGGCTAGAGGTACGATAATACAACACATATAACATAGTACATACTTGGAGGCTAGAGGTATGATGATACAACATAGTCAGTGGCGGATGCAGTATAGAACCACCGGGTTCAACTGAACCCAATACGTTTAACGCGGAGCATAAACTTATGTATAAAAAATCAGTAAACTTGCAATAAATAGTAGATATGAACCCATAACTTTAAATGCTGAACCCATAGATCTAAAATCCTAGATCCGCCTCTGAACATAGTACATACTCGGAGGCTAGAGGTACGATGATACAACATAGTACATACTCGGAGGCTAGATGTATGATAATACAACATACAACATAGTACATACTCGGAAGCTACAGGTATGATGATACAACATAGTACATGCATAGATGCTAGAGGTACGATAATACAACACATACAACATAGTACATACTCGGAGGCTAGAGGTACGATGATACAACATAGAACATACTCGGAGTCTAGGGGTACGATTGTACAACATAGTACATACTCAGAGGCTAGAGATACGATAATACAACACATACAACGTAATACATACTCGGAGGCTAGAGGTACGATGATACAACATAGAACATACTCGGAGTCTAGGGGTACGATTGTACAACATAGTACATACGCAGAGGCTAGAGATACAATAATACAACACATACAACATAGTACATACTCGTAGGCTAGAGGTACGATGATACAACATAGAACATACTCGGAGGCTAGGGGTACGATGATATAACATAGTACACACTCGGAGGCTAGAGGTATGATGATACAGCATAGTACATACTCAAAGGCTAGAGGTACAGTGATACAACATAGTACATACTCGGATGCTAGAGGTACGATTATATAACACATACAACATAGTACATACTCATTAAGTTATTAGTACAATCAACTGTTATTGAAATTTTGCTGAACCCACATAACAGCAAAGGGACTCCTAACATTGTGCTTATCACTCTCCCAAGATATCGAACCAAACGCCATTTGCTCAGCTATTTTCCTGCTGCTGTTGAATACATAATGGCTCTCAAATTTGACCATATAGCTTTGTTTCCTTAAAGATACATTGAAAACCAGCTTCCTTGGGCTTATACTTAAACTCACCTTTTCAGAATTCAGATTCACTATCTTTACTTTGTACACCTCGGCCTTAGATAGCGCGACATGTGTTAGTGTTCTCTTAACTACATGAACAGAGAAATCAGGCCTGAACATAACAGAAAGTGATGGATAGTTAAGATCAAGTGGCGATCCAGTAAAACCCGAGCAAGGATTTGACTCGTTCGTGAAAAGTTTCATTTGTTTCTCTGTATAGTTCAAGCTGCATAGTAGGTTGATGTAGTCTGATGTATCAGTGTCGTATATTAGGCCCGGATCAACAGCCGATTCAGGGTTCACATGACCGGAACCAATGCTGATCGGGGTTGCTAGCTCCATGTCTTCGTGTTTTATGATAGGGAGTTGTGCATTGTCGAATGCTGTGGATGTAGTCATGAGTGCGGATTTTATAGCAGCTGGGGACCAATCTGGATGAACAGCGCGGACTAGTGCAGCTACCCCGGCTATGTGAGGGCACGCCATTGATGTTCCCGAGTTTATGCTGAATTTTACTCTTCTTGGATCCATCTTGAGACGTGTCGGGGAAATGTCACCTGCATAGGCAGACGCAATGTGAAAAATCACCAAAAAAAGTAAAAGGGCAGACTGGTGCACAAAGCATTCTGCGCTCACGCATAGTCCGGGGAAGGGTCGCACCTCAAGGGGTGTGATGTAGACAGCCTACCCTAACGCAAGCATTAGTGGCTGCTTCCACACAATGTGGGAATTTACTAAACGGCAGCCCGGTGCACTAAGCTCCCGTTATGCGCGGGGTCCGGAAAAGGATCGGACCACAATGATCTATTGTAAGTAGCCTTACTCTACATTTTTGCAAGAGGCTGTTTCCACGGCGAACCCGTGACCTCCTGGTCACATGACAACAACTTTACCAGTTACGCCAATGCTCCCTTCAATGTGAAAATTCACTTAAATTTCGAAAAAATTTACATATTCAAATAAAGGTTGAACGCATAAAGTTTAAATCTTGGATCACACTCTAGTCACCTGGCCATGCAGCAAGAATGTTCAAACCCGGAGCAATGAGGTCAGGTTTGAGGACTTCAGGAACAACAACATTAGGCCCTCTTGAAGAAAAGCTAGCAACAATTGGAGCTCTAACTTTTTTCCCAATTACTGTATCCTTTCGACGCACGAATCGTGCTCTTGGATTAGCATTGGATTTGATATAAGAAAGAAGCTCTATTCCTTCCTTATAACCCAATGTTGTAGAAGGCAATGTGTAAGCCATTGCTCTAAGCCCTTCTCCTTCAGTTGCAAGATTTAATTGAATCAATCCAACACCACCTGCTTTCTGAATTACAATCCCATTTCTAAGAGCTTCGATTTTACTAGTGTTGCAAACTACAAGATTTCCTTTAACTTTAGAACGATCGATTGTCATTCTAGAACAATCCTCAACATAAACAAGAGAGTAACTTTTACCACTGATTTTCCCTGGATAAAGAGAAGAACCAATAAATGTTTTGTTGTTTGATAATTTGATTTCAACGGGGAAATCGCGATCAAGTGATCCAGCTCCAACTGTTGTCACCCAAGGTGCTGTATTGTGAACTGAAAATGGATAAGGTCCAAGATTTCCAGCTGAAGAAGCAACAAATATATTCCTTTTAACAGCAGCAAATGTTGCAATTGCTACTGGATTTTCATAAAACGGATCATCATCGTATCCTAAGGAGAGTGAAAGTATATCTACACCATCTTTGATAGCACTTTCAATAGCTGCTAAAATATCAGACTCTGCACAAGAACTACTCCCACAAGCTTTATACATTGCAATCCTAGCTTTACTCGCGATCCCTCGTGCTTTTCCCTTAGCGAAACCAAATACATTGGCTCCATTTACCTCTGCACCTGCTGCAGTTGAAGCAGTATGTGTTCCATGTCCATTTTGATCTCGTGGCGATTGATGCTGATAGTCATTCTCAACCCCCTTAACGAAATTCCTAGCACCAATAAGTTTTCTGTTACAACTGCTCGTCGCGTTGAATTCGATTCCATCTATACATTTGCCTTTCCACCTTGTTGGAATAGGACCAATACCATTGTCTTTGAAACTCTCACTTTCAGGCCAAATTCCTGTATCAACAAGGCCAATTATAACATCATCTCCAAAGTTAGACTTTGGCCACAGACCATAACCTGTGTTTAGGCCAAGAAAATTTGGCGAACGTGTAGTGTGAAGCTTAATTCTAGACTGATCTTTGAAAATGTGAATGACTTCTGGAAATTTATTTAGTTTTTCAGATTCTTGATCAGTCAATCTTGCTGCAAAACCTTGTAACACTACATCATATGAATAGAACATCCTTGGAGAAGTAGAATCTGAGTCCACTTTGTTTTCAAGAACTGATTTAACCATTGAATTATACCATTCATCTTGAGTTAAGTAATGAGATGGCCTGGTTTTGGTATCAACATGGACAACATAAGTTGACAACATAGGATCAGATACAACTGGTAAAACAAGAGATGTGAAAATTATGAAGAAAGTCAGTGCCATAACTGCCATTGTCACTCAAATTGTGAATTTAGCCTTGAGGAAGGGCTTAGATTTGTAAGGGTAGAAAACCAAGTGCAAAAACTTAAAGACTGGCTAATTCAAATGAATTTTCATTTATATGCACTAACATTGTAATTTTATATTGTCAAATCACCTAAAAGACAACGGTAGGTATTCATAAAAGTGGATTCACGATCTGAAAAATAAGGTAAGTTAACTGTTACAACTGGTTAAAATATATTAATAGTGTAATTTTCTTATAGTGTCAGCGTACATAGGTTAAATCCGTTTCAAATTAAATGTTGTCGTCATCCTATTTTTTATAGAAATAACCATCTAGTCCACATTCATCATTACAAAAGGCCAACTTTTTGCTATGTAAGTAGAAACTTATCCAACTTTCCTTTGTTCTTTTTATCATACCCTTCCAAGAGATTCTTTATTTTCTCTTCCTTTCTGGTGCGTCAGTTTCAGCAGCTGTTGGTCCAAAATAGAGAAACAGCCAAAACACTGTTTTTGTAATTAATATCTTTAAGTGGCCTTACTTGACATGGTATCTTTATCCTCTACTCCTTCCTTTTTAGTTAATGTCTTTTTCCCTTGCATGATATTCTTTTTTATGATGGCGGTGTTTAGACTAGCTTACGCACTCTGATTATTCTACTAGTTCCTGCTACTTCCATTGCAAAAATGTAGGGTAGGACTGTTTACGATAAATCTTTGTGGTCCGACCCTTCTCCGAACCTCGCACATAACAGAAGCTTAGTGCACTGGGCTGTTTTTTTTTATTTATTTATAACTTTGCACATTAAGAATTGGACCCCCCAAAAAAAATGATCCCCTAACTGTTATTCTCCCCGTTTTAATTTATTTGTCCTGGTTTAACTTGACACAAAGTTTAATAGAGAGAAGAAGACTTTTGAAACTTGCAATCTTAAATATTTAATATTTTTGTGGGTATAAAGTTTTTAAAACTTATGATCTTAAACAAGTCATAACATTTGTGTGGCTATAAATATTTCCTATTAAGGAAATATAGGAATGTGCCAATCTTCTTGAAACGGACTAACAAGGAAACAAAGGGAGTATAACAGTGAGTGGCCCATTTGGTTCAAGACCTCCTCCCATATCACACAGACAACATCATTTTTCATCAAGTATCAAATAGAAATAGAATTGTGAATTCAACAAAACAAAATTTAACAGGTGATCCAACACTTTCCATATTCAGAGTGCACCTTCAGTATGCACTTTCGAAACCTATAACTATAATGAGATCTGTCACAACCATTTTTATTCCAGATTGTCATCACACTAGCATGATATTTTTGTCAATGGTAGGGCAACTCCTAGTAAGATTGCCAGCAAATTTACAGATCAAAAAAAGAAAAGAAAATGCCGGCAAAATTTTCAACTAACATTCTTAATCCTCTCCTAAATCTAGAAGATGGCCCTTGTAAGCCATCAATAATCCTTCTGCATTTTCAGTAAATCTCGATATATACTTTTCCAAGAACACATGCTCCGACAAACACATCACATAATAAAAACTTGGCTCTTTCTTCGTAAGATTTTTTGACTTTATCAGCTGAATAACTCGATATCTGGGAATCACTCTATCCTCCATGCTAAACATCAAAAGAGTAGGATGCTGTACTAAAGTTGACTTCTTTAAATCCATTGTTTCCAAGAAAAACTCTAGTCCAAGTCTTATTTTCTCCTCTGAACTTCGGAATAAACTTGGCGCCCTCCTAAACATTTCCATGAACTCATTTTGGGAGAAACCAGAACTCTGGAGCAAAAGCAATTTCCTCGAAAAAGACACATGACTAATACAACCTAGAGTATGAAGGCCATGCACCAACATTCTTGAATCAGTAGAAAATCCGATATCTATAAGTTTAGAGACAAGCTTTTTAAGCTCAGATTCAGGCAAAGCAAAAAGATGAGGTTGCCTCTTCAAGAGTGATGATAGTTGAGACCCAACAATCCCAATGCTCTCCAGATATGATATATTAGGAATCAGTCTCAAGTGAGGGGATTTGTGTACAACCCAATCACACCTTCGCAGAACCCGGAACCAATCACCATTATCAGTACCGTTTATAAGGACTTTATCGAGAACTTCAATGCAAGGCTTTAGTATTTTCTCCACACTACGTGTTAATATAATCGCCTTTGTGGAAAGTAGCCTACCCAGATCAGAACCAGTGATACCCAATTCTTGTAATAGTTGGATCTTTGGCTTGAGTGTTTTTTCAACATCAGCCAGGAGGATTTGCGGGACATTACGAACAGCGGATTGGATTTGTGCATCTGTGAATCCAATGGACCTGAAGAAATCGACAACCGATTCAACTTTTTCAACATTTTTGACCCAAGGATAACGGTTGGATACTGCCAGGGCTTTACATTTTGGAAATTCCAAGGTGTTTATTAGGTAGTTAAGGAGAACAGGATTTTCTTGGTTTGCATTTTGAGCAGACTTTTTCGTTACTACCTGAGATAGAGAAGAAAGAGAGAAGTGGAAAGAAGAAAAAGGACCAGCAGGTAGGGAATGAAGATGATGTGAGTGAATAGATAAACTACGGCAGCATAGCTGGATCGCGATCATGAGTCCTTCTCAATCTGTTCATAGGCAACGGCCAGAAAGACTTACAGAGAGTTTTAAGAGAAAAACTTTGAACAAAGCTATTCAAAGTCAAAGATAGGTGGAGGTGGAACAAAGAAGCTACCCATGCTTTCTCCAAGCTTCACTTCCCTGGAAAAAAAAAGGTGAATAAATATTATCCCTCAATTAATTAAACGAATAGAGTAACCTATTGTGTTGTGTGAAGTCAGCCTATCACAAATGTTTGAGACCTACAAATTTAAAAAGATATAAATGCTAAGGGAAACTGATCTATTAATGAATCCAAAATGAAGTAACATTTTGCCATTAAAGTTCACTGATAACACAAAAGTTTACTCCCTCTATCTAAATTTATGTGTCCCTCTTTTCATTTTGGAACGTCCCAGAATGTTTAACATCATCTCATTTTTATATAACTCTCACACTATCAAGAACTCATATTCCTTAAACTACACAAATTTAAGTTTGATAATATATTTTCCCTATTAAAATTACTATTTTTAACCATGAATTTAATATTTTTCCATCAAAATTATATAATGGAGGGGTATTTATTATTAAGATAGTAATTTTCACATCTGCTAACATACTAAGTTCAAAACTCAAGTGGCCAGTGTGGATAGAATTGATGACAACAGCATGCAATTTCATCTTTGACGGCATTTATCTCTTTTCCCCATTCCATTATAAGTATACAGAGACTTTGCAATAATCAAAAGCAGATATATAGAACATCATAATTCATGAGCCAATACCACATAGAATACAAATGACAATGCAATTAAATTGTGAAAATAAAAACTCAGAGAAGCACACACTGCAGCTCATAAGCCGTACTACATCACTAAAAATAATTGTAAAAGGGGCTAGGATTTTTGTCTCACTAGAATCAGAGAATAGGATTCTCGTTTTGCATAGTATTGGGTTATTACCCTTTCACTTATTTGCTGTCTCTTTCGATGCGGATTATTATTTTTCTAGTTTCTTTTGTTGTTACGGATTTATTCTTTTGTTCTTTTCTGATATTATTGTCTCGTCTGTTGAGCCAAGTTTCTCCCGGAAATAGCCTCCCTATCCCCCGGGTAGGGGTAAGGTCTGCGCACCCTCTACCCTCCCCAGACCCCACTAGTGGGATTCTACTGGGTTGTAGTAGTAGTTGTTGTTGTTGTTTAATCAGAGAATAGGAATCCTAGAGAAGAAAGCGAAAGAGACCATGAGTGAACTTACTAATAGATTTCGATGGAGATAGATCTCACCGAGGAATTGCCCGAAAAATAGATAGACGGAATAGTAGCAGCGCCGAAAGAAGAGAACTCAGCACAATTTGACTGCCATCACACTAGCATGACATTTTTGCAAATAGTATGGCATCTTTAAACCTCGAGTCAATAGTAGGGAAGCTTGAAGCCTAGTAAAATCGCCAGCATATTTTACTTAAAAAGAAAAAAAAGAATGCCGGTAAATTCTCAAAGAACATTCTTACTCTTCTCCTAAATCTAGTAGATGGCCTTGTAGGCCATCAATAATTCCTCTGCATTTTCTATCCCAATTTATGTTTCCCTCTTCTCATTTTGGAACGTTCCCAAAACGTTTAACATCATCTCATTGTTTACATAACTTTCACATATTCAAGAATTCAAAATCCTTAGACTACTCAAATTTTAAATATGACGTGATGTTTTCTCTAATAAACTAAGTTTTTAGTTTTTAACACTAACTTTAATATCTTTTTCCATCAGAATTTATCTGATAGAGAGAGTGCTATTAAATATAAGAATTGCATCGCCTAACGAACTAGTTTCAAACTCAGGTACCCGTGTGAATAAAATTGATGACAAATGCATGAAATATTAAGCACTTCCAAAACTAAAAAAGCTGAAAACTCATGAAAAATGTTAATTTTCTCATCTTTGACGGCATTAATATCTTTCTACTCACTCCAATAGAAATTTACAGAAACTTTGCAATAATTAAAGCCAGATTAATAGAACATTGTTGTGAGCTGAAGTGAGAGTAGACACTGTGTGTGCGCTTGCGACTTAATCACGCTTGTGAAGCTTAAATCTAGTATATGCATCGAGCTCGAGCTACATTTTCAGACTATGAATGAGAATCCCTAGCTTCTTCTCTTTTCTTAGTTTATCTTAGCTCCAATTTCGCATTTCAGATTGAGTTTTGGTTCGAATTGGATCGAACATCATAATTTTACAAGCCAATAGCATATAGAAGCACACACTGCAATTCATAATCCGTAATATACAACAAAAATGTTTTGTAAAAGGGGTTAGGGTTTTTGTCTCACTACAGACAGAGAAGATGAATTCTAAAGAGAGAAATTTAAAGAGACGATGAGAGAACTTACGACTCGATTTAGCCGGAGATAGACATCGCCGAGGAGCTCGCCGGAAAAAGAGACCGGCGGGGAGTTCGCATCTGTTATACGGTCCATTATTCTTATCCCATCGGCTAGATATTATTTGGGCTTATTAGTTTGAAAACCTATGGGCCTAATATATTTTCTTTCTGCCCAAAATGTTTTTTAGAGGAAATTTTACCTCTCTTATGGCAAACGTATACACCTAAACCAAAATTATATTAAAATATTTTTTTTTATAATTACATGTTATATTTTATAACAAAATAAGTATTTATAATATATACTATCACTGAGGCATGAAATATGCTATTTGTGTTTTTCCCCTCTCTTTCTTTCAATTAACAGGATTCTCTCTCAGAATTTTTATTCTCTCTCCGAGAAAAATAGGCCAAATCATAGATACACAAAAGAGAAATAAATCATGAAAGAAAGCCTAAAAATCTCAAAATAAAAAACATGAAAGTAAACCTATAATTAAAAAAGGAAGCGGAGATACCTTGGGCGACAGAGAGGTTGAAGAGAAAGAGGGATTCTTAGCGCGGTAAATAAGAGAGAAAAGAGGAAGCGGTCGAATTGGAAGCGTTGTAAATTGTAGCGGATGAGGTAGTGAAGCGATATAAGGAGTCTTGGCCGGGAAACGCCATCTCCGACGAACTTTCTTCTCTTCTTTACTATTTAGTCACATACAATGATACAAACATATTGTATTCTGTACAAATTCACCCAATACATTGTATTTTTATATAAGTATTTTTTTTTTGCGTGTTTTTATGTATTTCGAAGGTTTATATTTTTTTAATACATCTGAATACACCTATATTCGTGCATACTGTACATACAGTATGTATGAATATAAGATATAAACATTGAAATACATTGAATATAAACATTAAAATATAACAGAATATAAATAGTGAATATATTTAATTTTAAAATACAGTAAAATATACGGAATACAAATAGAAATACAGTGAATACAACTAATGAGATATATTGAATACAACAGTAATAACATGTATTTGGAATAGCTTAAATACTGTTAATACAAATACATTTGAATACACTGAATATAAAATAGCGAATACAGTAAAAACAAACATTGAGTCTATTGAATGCAACACAAAAAAAAAATTGAAACACACTAAATACAAAAGTTATATACAACTGAAAAATTATTCTAATTAATTGGGTTGATAATGAGGCATGTTAGAATTAATTTTGAGTTATATTAGGAGTGTATCACGCTAATTGATATTATTTCCGTTATTAGACAGCTGAACATACCTATTTTTAAGGTGACTGTCATTACTGTATTCATGAATACATGACGCAAATACATGTGAATACATGCATGTACAGCTGGACTGCCCTAATTTTAGGCGCTTTTTGCTGGTATTCATGAATACAGTAGCGCGAATACATGTGAATACATGCGAGTACAGCTAGACTGCCATGATTTTAGGCACTTTTTTTTGTTGTATTCATGAACACATGGCGTGAATACATTTGAATACATGTGCGTATAACTGGACTGCCTTGATTTTTAGGCGCTTTTTGCTGCTGTATTCATGAATACAGCAGCGCGAATACAACGAATACACTACCATAACAACTGAATAGTAGCTATAGGAAGTAATTATGTGTATGGTAGCTATACGGAAGTTAATAGCCACTAAACAATAGTGGTTTCTGAAAATTTCTCTTAAAATTCCTAATTGAATTTATTTCTCGTACCAAAATAATAAAGGAAATTTTACCTCCTATAGCAAAGGTATACACCCAATTTATTATAAACCAAAATTATGTTAAAATATTATTTTTTATAGCTACCTTTTATATTTTATATCAAAATAAGTATTTATGGTATACACTATCATTGCGGCATGAAATACGCTATTTATGTTTTTCCTCTCTCTTAGACGCCTGGACATACCTATTTTTAAGGTGATTGACGTTACTGTATTCATGAATACATGGCGCGAATACATGTGAATACATGCACATACAGTTGGACTACCCTGATTTTAGACGCTTTTTACTGCTGTATTCATGAATACAGCATCGCGAATACATGTGAATACATGCGCGTACAACTAGATTGCCTTGATTTTAGGCATTTTTTGCTGTTGTATTCATGAATACATGGTGCAAATACATGTGAATACATGCGCGTACAGCTAGACCGACATGCTTTTAGACATTTTTTACTGTTGTATTCATGAATACAACAACGCGAATACTTTTGAGTACATGCGCTTATAGCTGGACTGCCCTGATTTTAGGCTCTTTTTGCTGCTGTATTCATGAATACATGGGGCGAATACATGCACGTACAACTAGACTAACTACCCTGATTTTTAGGCGCTTTTTGCTACTGTATTCATGGATACAACAACGCAACTACAATGAATACACTACCGTAACAACTGAATAGTAGCTATAGGAAGTAATTACACATATGGTAGCTATAGAAATTAATATCCACTAAACAATAGTGGTTTCTGAAAATTTCTCAATAATAAAACCGAAACAAAGATAAATAGTATTATACTACTTATCTTGTGAATTTATATGTACAACTTTTTTTATCACATATGTTTAGCGTTAGATCCAGGATTTAAACGTAGGGGGTTCTGAATCTACTAAGACAATAACTTCACGTCAACAATCAACAATAACTGAGCCAAATAACAAATTTGAAGAGTTTATGAAATTGTGATACAACAACAACAACAACAACAACAACAACAACATACCCAGTAAAATTCCACTAGTGGGGTCTGGGGAGAGTATAGTGTACGCAGACCTTACCCCTACACCAAAAAATTGTGATACAAATGGAATCAAAATACTAGATTTTACAAGAATAATCATAAAAAAAACTAACAATAAGAGAAAATTGGAAAAATAATAATTGCAATTAAATTCTTATATATTTAGTACAATGCCACTATAACCATTTTATAGTTATTTGTAAATTTTTCGCTTATCAAAATACAAAGAAAAAAAAAGGCACCATTATAAAGACATACGATGGAAAAATACTATGATCAACAATCATATGTTCTTCACAAAATATGATGCCTTTGATTCTTAGATGAGAATTTTTTTGATATTTCTATCAAATTCTTATTGATATAGAATTATCTCTACCAATTTGATCTTGTAATGCCAATATCTCAATAGGAAACTCACAATTACCCACAGATGGATTTTCTGCTGTAATTTCACCTAAACCATCAAAATCACAAGCTTCTACCCTTTGCTTCTCCTTCTGAAAATATGCATTAAAAGCATAAGAAATCTTAGAATCATCACTTAATCCATCACACGAACCTCCTTTTTCCAAACGTGTACAATCTGCTTCTTCACATGCAAAATTATAATATTTATTCACTAAATCTTTATCACTATTGTCCCCATCAAATTTACACCATCTATTTGGCATTGTCACAAGCCCCTTAGCTTGAGTTGGATAAATATCACGATCTTGTAATGTAAAGTCAATCTTGTATTTTGGATTTCCATCTGCTTCGTAAATTCCCCAATGTCTTTGAAATGCACCAAATACAGAAGGAAACTCATTTTCATCTGATAAACTATGGAGAAATACATCTATAGGACCTGGTTTAAGAGGTGTTCCTTTATTTGAAGCAATAAATTTCAAGAAACCTTTATAAAATCTCTCTGCATTTTCAATATTTGCATGTGGATATCCGTCTGTTGGCCAACCAATTTGACCTATCATAATTTTCATATTAGGGTATCCTGCTTTTCTTATTGCCCATGCAACGGAATCAATCATTAACTCCACTGCATTTCTGTACGTGACATTACCATCTTGAATCTTGAACTCGCTCTTATTATTAAAGAACGCGAATTCCATTGGACATTCAAGTACTTCTCGAACCATTTGGATTGGAAACATGTTTAAAAGAAAGGGTGTTCCTGTTTGATTGAAGAATTCTAGCGATTCAAGCATTAGGGTTTTTATATCATCGCGAAAATCGGCTTCTGATGGAATTTTTGTAAGCTCTAAAACATCCATACCATGAGAAGTTGTTGTTCTTATATACCCTAAACCCATATCATTTAGAGCTCCTCGTACAAGTTTTATCACATTCACAAATTGATAGGTTTTTGCAGTTGCTCTAAAGAACGAACTCGAAAATGGTTCAGATCCAACAGTAACTTCCCTGAAAAAATTACAAGAATCACAAAGATTGCAATAACATTCGAGATTAAAAAAAAAAAAAAAAAGAAAAAAAGATTGAACAACATACACTATATTTACACCTTTGTTGATAGGTTCCTTGACTCGGTCATTTACCCATATATAGGCAAGGTCTTTCCTATTGACCAGATTAAAGACTTGATGTCCAAGGGTAATAGCGATGCTAATGTTAGTATCAGAAAATATTTCAATAATATCATTGGCTGAAGTCATTAATCTCAATGCTGGAATTTCGTTTTGTAAAAGTAAGTCAACAACCATTGATGGAACCAATTGTTGTGATTGTTGCCTGCCCCAAGTGATACCCACAAAGCTATTTACACGAGTTGCCATTAACAAAACCATGAAACACATGCCTATGTTGAGCCTCATATTGCCTTTTCTTTTTGAAGGATTCCGCTTCACGACAATGGTACCGAAGCCAGGATTTTTAATAACATAATGAGATTTGAATAAATGCAAAGATATTACAATTGAAATTCAATCTCACATTGTAAAGAAATTTTTGAGTAACTTTTTCCGTTTGCATTAATTTAATTTTACCATATTTATGCAATATAATTTTCCGATGGAACGAAAAGAGATTGAACTCAAACTCCCTATGAAAGTTTGCCCTGGATGATATATACCTGTCTTGTCACAAACTAAGCTTTTTGTGGCTCTCCAAATTAAACCCCATAGGGGTTTGCTTAAAAATAAAATAAAAATAAAAACCTAACGCCAAAGGTGAATACATATGTCCGCTTATTACGGGCATGCATTAAAGGTTATACGCGTTATTCAGCTTCACTTGTTTTATATCACTAACTGCGTTGCGTGTGTACTTTATATTAATGAGTATAAATTTTTGAAAATTACACAAATATTATTAACTTATGTAATTG